TTCTTTTTTTTACTGGTTTTAATGTTTACTTACATTATTCTCTTCGTTATTTGTTTTTGTGCTTCATCTGTTCGGATTTGTTTTGTGTTTTTCGACATTGTTCTACCATTTTTATTTGTGGCTTGCTTTTGTATCTCATTTGTTCTTATTTTTTTTAATGCTCACTAAAGTTTGATTTGGGTTTTGGCGCAGGTCTCTTTCGTTTTCCTGGATTGCTTCTAGGCTCGCTTCATTCGCGGTTTTGGTTTGGGTTTTTATCTGTTTTTGAGTGATTGGATGCTTGGCCTCTTTTTTCTTTTTTTTTTCTTTTTGCCTGGTTTTAATGTTTGCTTACATTATTCTCTTCGTTATTTGCTTTTGTGCTTCATCTATTTGGATTTGTTTTGTGTTTCTTAAGACTGAAACAAATTTCTAATTGACTGGTATGTACTGTCCGTGAGAAATTCCTTTACACCTGTTTATTATTATTCTTGATTGGTCCTTTTGTTCACAAAAGAATTCTTATCTGCGTAGTTCCGTGTTGTTTCCGATTAATCTTGATTTTGTTTGCCTGTATTTATTGAGCTGATGATCTGTAAAGTCTATGGTACTGATTTGTCTTGCCACGTTGATGGCTTATGCTCACTTTGCTGCAGAGGTATTTAATGAATCCTTGATTTTTTTTTCTATTTTCCGTGTTGTTTCCGATTAATCTTGATTTTGGTTGCCTGTATTTATTGAGGTGATGATCTGTAAAGTCTATGGTACTGATTTATCTTGCCACGTTGATGGCTTATGCTCACTTTGCTGTAGAGGTATTTAATGAATCCTTGATTTTTTTTCTATTTTCCGTGTTGTTTCCAATTAATCTTGATTTTGGTTGCCTGTATTTATTGAGGTGATGATCTGTAAAGTCTATGGTACTGATTTGTCTTGCCACGTTGATGGCTTATGCTCACTTTACTGCAGAGGTATTTAATGAATCATTGATTTTTTTTTCTATTTTCTGAAATGTTTAAAGAATTTGGCCAAAAAATGTTGGTAATTGTTATATTAATGTTTAAAAAATAGGTATCTTTCTCCTTTTCCATATTGTTATTATTTTACTTTTTATTATCTAATTTGGAAATTTTAACTTCGGGTTTTTTCTCACCGACTTTGGGTTTCTACGTGGGATTTTGTTATAGGTTGCTCATTAGTTCTCTGTTTCTGTATTTAAAAATGTGCCTGCCTGTGGATTTATCATGCATGTCCCTATTTCTTTCCCTTGCATCTCCTGTTTTTGCTTCCTTATTTTACCTTCAATCATTTACTGCTCCACTTCATTCTCTACTATTTATTTTCTGATCCTTTTATCATGGTGACATTTGGTTGGCTAATATTTCAGACTCAATACAGCATTTGTAGCGTTCGAGGTACTCCTGAGGTTTCCTATCCATAGCTTGCTCATTTATGTTGTTGATATTGAATGCACTGGTTTGTTGTGGGGCTATTAATGTCTGTTGTTTGTCTTTTATTACTTGTCATTTTTTTCCTCTGTATTTGCTAGGTATATCATATTTACGTGTTCACTTGCTGCTTTATTAACTGTCTTGGTTTTCCTCTGTATTTGCTCAGTATATGATATTTATATACTTGCTTATTTATCTCTTACTTACATGTGTGTGTGTGTGTATATATATTCCTATTTTTACTTATCCCATGTGTGTGTGAATTATGAGAGAGAAGCCTTGCACAATGAAATTATGATATAAAATGACATACCTGTGAACTGTCACTGATGTTGTGAATTAGATTCTGACACCATAGAACGACACACTAGAATTGCACATGATTATCAATTTCCTCCCAATGCGTACATAATTTTGTAACCTAAGTTAGTCATGATGCTTGGTGAATTATTATTTTTTTCCGTATTGACTATTTTATTGAAAACCTATTTCTAGGTGTCTTGAGCTTCTTTTTTTACGCTGAGCTTTAGCTCCACCATCCTGTTTTTGCTGTTTCATAGAAGGAAAAAAAAACTATTAGAAAAAAGACAAATATTCTGTTGTCTTATTTTTGTCCCCTCATAACATTCTTCATCATTTTCTTATTGCTTTGTTTCTTCCTTCACTTTTACCATAAATTACAGTTTTTATTGCTCTGTTGGTATTGTTCTTTTCCTCTCTTTCAATTCACCTGATAGTCTTTTATTTTTGGTCTAGATTTTTTACTCCTTTGTGTGTTGTCACCTTTACTTATTCCAAGGCTTTAGTGAAGAGGATCTTCATAAAATATATATATATATATGGATTAAAAAAAAAGAGAACTTCATAAAATAACAAGTACCTTAGAAGGAAAACAAATTTTTTCAAAGAAGTGGGAGGAGGCGGGTACGCCTCTTTGTTCCATTATTTCAGATGGCATTTTTTGTGGTTCAGAAAGCAGAGATTTCACCAGAGAAAAAAAAAAATCCCAACTATTTAATCTACTTATGGACTGTCTCTACACTACAAGGTCCTCATCTACATAAAATGAAGAATAAAACAGAAACCCAACAGACTGAAAGCATTGAAAATGGCAATTGGTCTTCTGGTTTCGTCATTTATTTCGTAATTCAAGGTAAAAATTTGAGAAAGAAAAAACCTCTTTATTTAGAATGAAAAGGATCAAACTTGGGCCAAAAAATTGGTTGCCGAGAAAATTAGAAGGAAATGAATAGGATCAAATTAGGCAAAAAAAAATCGCTAATTAAAACTTAAGTTTAATCAGAAACAGAAAAGATAAGCCCAAAACCTGTTTAATCAGGATGAAAAGGATCAAACTTCGGCCAAAAAAATTGGTTGCTGAGAAAATTGCTAGGAAATGAAAAGGATCAAACTTGGGCCAAAAAAATCATTAATTAAAACAGAAATTTAATCAGTTAAAGAAATAGAAAAGATAAGCGCAAAAAAAAAAAAAAAAAAGGAAGAGAAGAATTTAATCGTAATTGGGAACCAGTCCAAAATTTGACTCTCCAAAATTAAGAAATCAGAATTAAAGTTCCAAAATTCTGCAATAAAATTTAACAAGAAATTGTAGAAGATCAAAAGAGAAGAGGATCTAACCCTAAGGTAATAAAGCTACACTGACAATAGAGGAACACAACAGCAAAGAAGAAGAAAGAATTGTATATATATATATATATATTGTAAATAATTTTATATGACAATATATTATACATATATATTTTGTATATATATATATATTTATTGTAAATAACTTCATAGAACAATGTCCTATGTATATATTCATGTATAAATACAGACAAATAATCTATTTATATTGTATACAAATTAATAACTTAACCTAAAAAACAAAATTATTTTCTACTGCAATGCGTGCAAACGCGCGCATCTATGGCTAGTTTTTTACTATTATAGGCATCTCTATGTTGTGTCACTTATTCTACAAATATACACATACAGTCACAGATACAAAATTATTGCGCGCTGCAACGCGCAGGTACAAATCTAGTTTAATCTAAACAAATATAAAAGAGCCAAAAGGCTCTTGAATAACGCTTCTCCTTTAACTCACCACGTGTCGGCTCCTCCAATTTTCCCTCTTTTGCCTTTTCTTTTTCTTTCTTTATTTCTTTTATATATTTTTATCTTTATTTATTTTTTTTTTTTTTACTTTAAGAATGTTTTTGTACAATTTAATTTTTGTGTTTTTTAAAAATTCATTTTTTCCACTTTACTCCTACAAAAAAGTAATTTCTTACGATTTAATTTTGTAGGACTTTGCCTCCATTTCATTAAGACCACTAATTTTTTAAGACTGTTTGATCTAGTTAAAATTACACCTAATGAAAAATATACAAAACAAACAATTTATGAAATAGTTTTTGGTCAAAATCACTATTTTTTCACTTTACTCGTATGAAAGTAATTTCTTATATTTTATTTTTTAGGACTTTCGCCAGTAGAGCCTCTATATTGGTAGAGCCGTTAATTTTTAGGGATTGTTAGATCTGGTCAAAATCACATTAAATTAAAAGGGTGTGCAGAATAAACGATTTCTGATACAGATCTGATAGGTGAACATAGAGAACTACTAATTGCTCGTTTTTCTAATCTTATCAGAAAAACTCTCTAATTTTTTATGTGCGTTTAAAAAAATAATCTTTACCTTCATAAAAGAGGCAAAGCGGGTTTTAATCACTTTCTTTTCTTTCTCCACATGGGAACTCTCCTCTTTTTCTTTCCTCCTTTTCTTTATTTTTTGTTTTTTTTTCTTATTGTTTTTCCTTTTTTATTCATTAGTTTGTTTTTTCCTCTTTTTCTTTTTGCTTAAAGCTCCTATACAGTTTTTTTTTTAATTTTTAATTTTTAATTTTTTTCCACTTATCATCTTATAATCTTTTTCCCTTTTTTTTCCTGTGTTATCCTATATTTTAAGAGGTATTTTACTAATATACGTTTTCTTCTTTACCTTATTAACATAGTATTTTAATAAAAAAGGTAAATGAGATATTTTGATATTTAGCATGTAAGAGTAAAAAAGTTTAATAGAAGAGGTGTTGACGTGATTAGTTGGGGTTAAAGGGTGGCTTTGTAATTTTAATAAAATAGAAGAGGTCATTGTTAATTGCTCTGCATGAAAAGTGCTAATAACTCTTCATCTTTGTCTTGCATGTCAATTTATTTTCTTTTAATCTTTTTTTCATTTATTATGTTATAAATTTTTTCCTAATTTTTCTGATAATATTATATTTTACGATGTGTTTCAATAAAATTATCTTTTTATTTTTACCTTACTTAAATATTTATATAAATAAATTTCTTATAATCTAATAAATAATAAATTATTAAGGTGATTTTAACATGTGCGGAGCACGTTTTTTTTAAAAAAAAAAAAAAAAAAAAAAAAAAAAAAAAAAAAAAAGGTCGCAAACTTGCAAATACGTGGCAAACAGATGAGTGTGAACGTGGGTTAAAAGGGACGGTGACATTCTTGCAATATGTGTGGAAAAAATGTCATTATTAAGCATGTTTGTTTGTACAAATCAAGAGCTGAAAGAGTATTTAACCCCACCAATCAAATCTACCGTCTAATACCATCTTCTCATTCCACTTAATTAAAACAAATTAACATCAAATCTCAACTCTAAGCACTAACTTTTCATCCTCCATATATTCACAGACAAAACATTACTACTTCATATACATAAAATCTACCCTCAAACTAAACACCCTAACAACAAAAATCACTCTTGTCACACACAATTACAAACAAACATAAATTAAACTTAAAGCTAGTTTAGTTCTCCACAACCTTATTGGCCTTGGCAATACTCATAATATACTGAATCTCCTCAGCAACTTCCTTCATTGAAGGCCTATTCTGCCTTCTCTCCTCCAAGCACCCCACAGCCAAAAACCCAATTGCCTTCATCGTATCTCTCTCCAAATCACTCGCTCCTTCTTTCAAATTCGGATCCACGGCCTCCATCAACATCTCCTCTGCCACCATTCTCTGCACATAAACCGCCAAATTCACATCATCCGATTCTCTACTGAAATCTATGGCTTTCTGAGACGTCAAGAGCTCCAACAACACGACTCCGAAGCTATAAACATCGCTCTTATCGGTCAACTGGTAGTTCCGGTAATACTCGGGATCGAGATATCCGAGAGTGCCCTGAGCACAAGTCGAGACATGGCTCAAATCCGCGTGAGCCAGCCTGGAGAGACCGAAATCGGAGACTTTGGCGTTCATCTTCTCGTCGAGGAGAATGTTGCTGGACTTGACGTCGCGGTGGTAGATTGACGGGACGGCGGAGAAGTGGAGGTAAGCGAGTCCCTCCGCGGTGTCGTGAGCGATTCGGAGACGGTCTTCCCATAAGAGATGATGATCATTTCGTTGTCGGAGATGGTCGAAGAGCGTCCCGTTTTCGATGAATTCGTAGACCATGATCGGCTGCTCCAGCTCGACGCAGCAGCCAAGGAGGCCGACGAGGCTGCGGTGGTTGACCTGGCAGAGAATGCGGACCTCGTTGAGGATCTGGTCGGTTCCCTTGGTGTTGCCGAGCTTGGCGCACTTGATGGCCACGGTGGTGCCGTCTTGGAGGAACCCTTTGTAGACTTCTCCGTAGCCACCGGAGCCGAGGAGGCGGTCTTTGGCGAAGTTGTCGGTTGCTTTCTTGATCTCCTTGCCGGTGAAGACCTTTGCGGCTCTTCCGGTGCCATTGGCGTTGAGTATCTCCTCCCGCTCTCTGGTAAGACGCTCTTGTGCTTCCTTGATGCGCCGGTGACGCCTGTAGAGGAGAGCGGCGATGACTGTGGCGATAAGGATTCCGCCTATGCCGGAGGTTAAGCCTGCGGAGACAAATTTTGTTTTTGTGCTCAACTTGGAGAGAAGTTTAATTGGCGTTGACTTATTCGAGTTGAGATGGGAATTTATCGGAGAGTTTTTTAATAAATATGGCTTAGTTTCTATTTGTATGCAATATAGTAATAATACGGAGACATGCACGCTACTGATATGTTCGAATATTTGTAGTACATTTTTTAGTGTAATTCTTACTCACAAAGATTGAAGTGCAATGTTTTTTCTTTTAAAATACTAATGCAACCGGTATTTCTCCACCGTTGCAAAATTGGAGCAATCTGGGGGTTTTTTTTTTTCTTTTCTTTTTTTAAAAGTTATCATACTGCAACCTCAGAAACTTCAAAAGACTAGAATAAAAGTAATAGAAAGGAACAGTAACAATAACAGCAGTCAATAATCCAATCCTCGACTAATCATGTCTTAATTCATCACGAGTCAAAGCCAACCGAATGAGCTACATATAAATATAATACACCCTATGATATGAATGCACAACCAACCAACCTACCAGTTTGACATATGCTACGTGTCCTAAATTTAGTTTATAGACATATAGATCCAATTCAAGAAAAAAGAATTAAAATATTGTAATCGTATAACATATATAGTTATATACCTATATAATTTTTTATTTCAAACAAAGTGTTTCTTTCATTTACATAGCACAACATATACTATACAGGTGTATCAAACAAACATATAGTGAAATCACATTCATTGGATATAGTCAAATATGAACTATAAGTATTACTCGTTGCCACATAATATATAAAACTTTCAGCAAAAAAAAAGTCCAATAAATTAATGAAATAATAAGAAAACATTTTCAACGACTCTGTTGGGGGAAAAAAAAAAATCATGTTGGTACTGAACTAAACAAGATAAAAGTTGGACCAGAAATCTATTGGCGGAACGTCCAAAAAGAGAACAAATTAAAAGGGAAGTTATACCTGCTATAAGTGCAGTCCGCTTTGAATCGTCACAGCCGTCAGGATCTTGACACGTATCATCTATCAAACAGAAAAACAAACAAAAATAAAAAGTCAACAGGTCTCCTCCTCTTAATTTCCTGTCAAGTCAAAAAAATTGAGCAAAAAAAAAAAAACTCACTTTCCGCACAAAATCCGTTGATTGGGTCCCACACGAGCCCCTCGTTACAGAAGCATCTCCGTTCCCCACCACCATTCGCCGTATCGGTTCTGCAAGTGGACCGGGCATCACAGTCTGACTGGGCCGCACAGACGGATTCCCTCGGCGACACCCACTGGATCTCCACCCCTGGATCGGTCCACTGACCCACGGGCCGGGCCGGGTCCAGATTCACGAAGCTGGTGTAGGCGCTGCAGCCAGACTCCCTAACCCGAATCATGTACGACGTCGACGACCCGCCGGCTCTGAACGTGCAGCAGAGCTGTGCGTCCTCGCACGCGCCGCCGGTTTCGTTGATGTAGGAGTGGCAGAGGCTGGCGGAGGAGCAGTTAAGCGGGGAGCGGAGGAGGGAGTCGGAGCAGTTGAGGTAAAAGATGGTGTTACTGCTGGTGACGTTGAAGGGGAGGGAGCTGTTAAGCTGGATGCCCTGGTGGCGGATATCCTCTGCGACGCAGGCGTTTTGGAGGAGCGGCGAGGGCGAAATCACGAGGCGCTGGGTGGGGCCGGAGATAGAGGTGATCGGGTAGGAGTTGTTGAGGGTGTCGAAGAGGAGTTTGCTGCCGTTGCAGCGGATCTTGTAGGACTGGTCCCCGCAGGTTGGGGAGGTGCTCAGAGGGTACGGTACGGTTGTGGAACCGCAGTCGGGGCAGGTGGTTAGGGGTGCTGTTACGGCGGCAAGGGACAGTAGCGCCGCCGTCAAGAGCAGGATTTTCGACGTTACCATCGCCATCGAGAGAGGGAGGAGTTGCAAAGATTTGGTTTGATTGGTGTAATGGTGGTGTGGTGTACTTAAAATGAGTCGTGAGACGTTTTTGTCAAAGTTTTTGCCGAAATTTAGAAGATTCTTTATGGATTACAAGTCATTAGAGTTCCTTTGGTCGTAGATTCAAATCAAAGTAATTCTAATTCTAATTTAGAATTATAATTTATAATTTTGAGTTCAGATTCTGAAATTATAATTCAGAATTAGAAATTTGAATCACTTTAAATTAAGAGATTTAGGTCCCGTTCTTTTCGCTGATTCGACTTTAAAATTCGAGTTTTACTACAGTAAAAAACTCTCAGAAAGAGTCACATCTAACTTTTTTACTACAATAAAAAACTCTTACACAACATCACATCTCAACTCGAATTAAAAACTCAAATTAACGAACCGAACGGGCCCTTATAGTTTTAAAATCATGATTTGAATTAATTTAAAACATCACATCAAATTTTAAATTATAATTAAGAATCATTCAAATTAAACACTAATTTTAAATCATGATTTAAAATTATTTTAAATAAACACTAATTTTAAACTAATACCTAAAATTATAATTCTGAATTCATTTACTAAACACACCCTTAGAATTACTAGTGAAAAATGCGTGAAACCTGATTTAGGTGGTCCGACTTTGACATCTTTGACAAAAGCAAAAAAAAAACAAAAAACAAACAAAAAACAAAACAAAAACAAAACAAAACAAATACAAAAACAAAAAAAACAAAACAAAACAAAACAAAACAAAAAAACCAAAACAAAACAAAAAAATTACGACTACACAATAATATCAACCTAACAAAGATCAGTTAATAATTTTCTAAACATCATATGGATCTTTAATATAATATTTCCGATTGCAAATTTTCAATTGGCCTTAATAATATATCTGATCCTCTCCCTCTTGTATAGTTTGGTATACTTCCGACCTTTGCATAGTGCTCGAGTTCTCGCTACTTGGTAGGTTTCGTTTCATAAAAAACATAAGAGTAGCAAGATTAAAAACGCCATTTTTGTGAAAGAACCCTACGGTTTGTGAATATTTCAAGGTAAAACAGGCACTTACATTCTATTCGATTTGTAAATAAAAGCATGCGCATAAAATAGAAATAAATAGAATAGCATAAAGGAGAAGTCCAGGGCAATCGGAATAAAAAGGATTATGCTCTTGCGTCCAATACGGCAATGCCCAAGTGATAGACCAAAGGAAAATTGCACACGATGTGACTGAAAGAAAGTTTTGTATCTAGAAAACCCAAGAAGTCAAGCGCCTAATGGCTAATAGCTGCCAAGGAAAAGGCAGTTGGTTGAATTTTTTTTTCTTTTTTGAATAATTTGTTTCTATTTGAGCATCTGGAATTTCTTCTAAGAATGTTTCTCTATGGTGCTCATTTGGATCGGAGAACACGCAGAATATGACAAGCATAACTCTTCCTTATTCTTTCCCTTTATATATATACACACTACAATCTATCATGTAGGTGCTCTGTGCTCATGAGGTGGTTCGAACCCAGAAGGTGTGGGAACAAGCCACTTTCCTGATTTTACATAAGAAACGCATTGCTTCTGCTCTAAGTATACATTCAATTGGAAAAAAAAAATAAATAATAAATATAAACCCTTTTCGATTGGAGTTAAAAAAGCAACCCTTTCACATAAATAACCTAGCATTCGAAAGCATATGATTACATCTAGTAGTTCAAATTTGCATGGAATAAAAATATACACAATGGACTAAATCTGTTTCTACATGACAAGCCGATGCCTCACTCTTGCAACGGTTTTATGACTGTGCTAGTCATGGTGAACTTTCGGCCATCAAAGAATGAGCAGATTGCATATATGTATATGCATTACGAACCTATTGATTGTATGTACACATACACATATAACTCAACAATTACCACTCCATTCAACTCCTACCTAACAAAACTGTGCCTAATCAATCTGGGGGAGAAGGAACTCAAGTGGGTGATTCAGCCAAGAGCAGGGTATGCCACCAGCCACAAGCCACTTTTTTAGGGACACAACCGGCTATGACGACTTCAGAAGGAGTGTTACGATCAATAACATCTCCCAAGCCAAGCTGCCACGTAAACGAGTTGTCAATGTACCAGAAAAATGCAGGGTATGGAATATACATCTTTGTAGCATGGCAGGGCTTAAGATGATATTATATTTATAATAGTAATGTTTTGTGTTGTTTGACCTGTAAGATCCAAGGAGTGTCATACCTGGCCATATTTGTTCCATCCCCAGCAAAACACTTTGCCATCCTCTTTTGAAAAGCAGGAGGAGCAAGTCAAGAAGAAATAAAAGAAAAACAATGAAGTCAGAATCACTTTGGGCTTCAATTCATGTAAATTAACATTCTCAACTAAATTAACATCGCAACATGCATGCTGAGATGATAAAATACTAAATGTCAAAAGGAAATATCACTCGAAGATTAAATAGGGAAATGACGTTTATTAAATCTAAATTTTATCTATTGCTTTCTACATTTCATCTATTGCTATAAGTTCATACAAGCCGTAACACTAACTAATCGTAGCTAACAGCCTTTGGCCTTTACTTTCTAAGAAATGTAAACCTATCTCACCCTCGTGAGTCGTGCCACTGAAATCTCATATTCAACTGTGTATATATATAATATATAATATAACTAAAACTTTTCCTCTTTGATCATTATTCAGTAAGAAAATTTTTGGTTGTTTGACATTAAAAAAATTGACTGGAGAATGGAAGATGCTTATGAAATGCCCATCCAACAAAATCTCTCTAGCATTATATGTGTGTATGTTGTGGTGACATACCCGTGATTATGGCACTATGACGAGCCCCACAAGATATGCTTTTCGCTTGTGTACTTTCCAGACTTGGAGCATCAAGAAGCCTTGGGAGAGTCTGGATTAAAATTCAGAAAATGCTTAAATTAGTTGAAATTTGTGATCTATCAGCAAAAGTTATGATACACGATTAAGCAATCAGATTTGTATAGTTTCAACATTCTACGTTAGAAGGGTGTGGCAAAATGAAGAACTAAGATTATCAGGTTGTCATTCTCTAGAGTTCAGCTCGGAATCTAATCTAAGACATCTAATCTTGGTACTTGTAACGTTTTCCTGCACCATTATCTGGATGGATATAATAAGGTAACTTAGGTAAAGACTTCTGACATTGCAACTCTTGGCAACTCGTATAGTCTAAAAAAGGGTAATTATACATGCGTAACTTCTAGTTTATTTTAGAGTGTACCTCAGCTTGCTCAGCTCCAGTTCCCAGCTGCCCAAATTGATTCCCACCAAATGCGTAAACATCGCCGTCAGAAGATACGCAAACAGTGTGCCACAGTCCTGCAGCAACACTCTCTATCCTAATACCCAGTAGGGAAGAGACACAGACTGGGCTTAATTCATCATCTGTACATCCTTGCCCGCACTTGAAGAAAACAACATAACAAGAATTAGTCGTGCTTCATTATCATGTAAAGAAAACAAGCAGCGAAAAATAAGGTGTGAAGGAGATGTCATTAGAAGGGAATAGAATAGATATATTCCTTGTTTGATGAACCATCTTGCATATCTACACTTCCTTTTCTGCACCAATTCTACTTTACCTACATATTAATCCTGAGAACCGTTAAAACATTGGAAACTCCAACCAGTCATGGATGGATGTAAGGATAAAAAATTTAAACATGTCAGGATTGCGAGCTGAGGAAATGGAGCATATATTACCGCATTTTTTAGCATATTTTGAAGCTGTGACAGGTGAGTTTCTTTTTCATGCTCATCATGAATGGTCTCGCAACCAATAAATCATTTAAAAGAAGCAAGTATCACAGAAAAGTTAATTGCATAAGTACTTAAAGTATAGTCAATTATGAATAGGATTGAAAATTTTGTGTGCAGAAAATGAAATACATATTACCACAAAATCAGGAAAGACCATAAAAAGATTCTAGTCAACACATTGTGATTAGCATCACCTAGCAAGTTGCGAAAAACTGTAGGATATAAACTACTAAATAGGGGAAACAGCCCACTCATTTATAGAGACCTCCACAAATAACTTATTATACTTTGGCAAATCAAACTCAAAGGTAATAGCAGCCTGTCCTAACCCTAAGAGACTATTAAGCAAAAAACTTCAGGAAAAGTACTCTGTTGTCTTTACTATGTTTATGACTTGGAAAATTTCCCTTTGGTAAACAATTAATTTTGGCGCAAAACCAAGCAAAGCTATACATGTGAAGCAATTGTTTTGCAAAAGAATGCATCTATTTCATAACTCAAAATATCATAGTCCAATAAAATACAATAACTCCTAACAAACATACAATCAATGATAAGAATTTGAAATTTCATTCAACGAATTATGAAAACCAACAAACAACGATTCTTTGCTACTAAGAATTATAGGTTATAATCAAATGAAAATTTAATTAGACAGAAATGCAATTGTTTTTGAAAGAACCAATAGTGAGAATGAAAGCTCAGATATTAACTTGAACCACATCTCTAGGTAGTAATGCGTAGCGAGAAAAGTGGCAAAGGAGCATCTCTGCTGAAATAAGTAAGAAAATACGAGCACAATGACATTAAGAAATTAATGCTCTAGAATAACTCACCTGTCCATAAAGCCCCCAGCCAAACGTAAGAAGCGCTCCAGCATCTAAAATGCAAAAAATCACACGAGTGTTTTGAAAGTTAAGTAAAGATATTCTAAATAAAAAATTTCCTATTTCTCCAATTTATGGATTTTTAATATTTATGTCTAGATGTTCATTAGCAACTTGTTGAAAGAAAGCTCAAGCATTTGTTATGTCTCAATGTTCATTAACAGAATTCATGTCAAGAGAACACCTAGATATGGCCTGCCGGATGTGTAGACACACTAAGAGACCCATTTATTTGGGACTCAAAGAAAAACAGATATCCAGCAGAAAATATCCATATTTAAACTTAAATGAGAAAAAAACAGTCAAACTACCTGTGATTACTGCACTATGCCGCCCTCCACAGGCTATTGCCTTCACATAATTTCCAGGAACTCTGTAACTCTGTCCTTCGCTTATGCTTCCACGAGAGATCGCAGAGGATCTATCCTTTCCATAAGAAGAGGAATCGATACAAGGAACAGGATGTGGAGATGACACCATGCGTATTCGGGAGCCCAAGCCGAGTTGTCCTTCGCCGCCATAGCCCCAACCCCACACCTGACCTATATCTGCAACCTTGGGAAAATCAGCATGCATAATACATCGTGGTTCAGAACATAGATTTTGTAGCTACTAACTGGATGTAAAATGACTCCATTGTAGCAGCAGTGTGCATGAAATCTGCAGTTTAGGAACAACAATTATTCAAAGCATGGTAAATTACCTGACAATGCTAGAGTGTGGCGTCCTCCAGCAGCAACAGTGGATATTCTGACTCCAGCATTCAGTGTCACGAGACATGGCAAGGCTGAAAGGCTTTCTTCAGCAGATGATGAACTCTCAGCTGCTTGCTTTGCTGAAGATACTCTCCTCCGCTTTGTACTTTCTTCTCCACCTCTAGCATCATTGGCAGAACCTGCTCCTCCACTGGACCGTGACCCTTGAGAACGAGGGCTAACTATACCATATGCACCAAATATTAACATTAGTCCATAGCTGAAAAAATGGAAAACACTTTTGGAACTGATGAAAAAGCAGCAAAATTAAAATTCTCTTTTCTTTTTTTTTTTTTAATTGCAAGATGAAATTACCTTGTTCCATCGAAAAGGAGCTCTGCCTTTCAAGTACTTCCTTCTCTGTGCTTGCACCTGCAGATAGGTCTCCAAAGACCTTCCCAGAAGGAATACACTCTTTCCAACCCCAAGTGTAAACTTCTCCAATATCTGCACAAGCACATAACAAAACCTCCCCAACTCACTAAACAACTTCCACAGGAAACGTAACAAACAAAAAGGTAACAATACATAAAAACGTTTTCTTTCTGTACTTTAATCAAAAAAACCAAATTACTTGTACGAGGTGCTTCTCTTGTAAACTTCTTGTCTACATTGTTTGCAACCCCTCGGCGTCTTTTAATGAACTTACTTATCAAAAAAAAAAAAAAAAAAAGAAAGGAAAAAAGGGAGGGTTATCAATTGCTTGAACGTTTTTTACAACTTGAAGATGACTTTCAGAATACTACATCCGTAAATTTCTTCACTCATTTTCCATTCATTAAGAAAAATTGTAACTTTTTCACATGAAAATCTGTAAGGAGTTATTGTTATAGTACCTGTAACTGCAACACAATGGGCCCAACCTGCAGCTGCCCTTACTATAGACGCCTCTGTTGGAAGGGGGAAAGGCTCCGGGGTTTCCTAAGCAAGTGAAATCGAACAATGTCGATAAGTTTCGGTCCGAAACAATTTTAAGCAAAAGAAAAAGTGAATTGATTAATTCAGAATCTCATGTTGTTCTACTACCCCATGCTTCCCGGATGTTACATAACTTTGACCTAGATCATCCGTGGAACCCCATGTAATGAGCTTTCCAGACTCTGAAGCAGACAACAAACACGAGAGGAATATAAACAAACTTTTCTTGCAATACAACCACAGCAGAGGATTATGTATAAAACAATCAACCAAGTAAAACTGCCTTGAATTTAAAGAAAAAATTCAAATTCTTACAAATGGAAGAATTCCTATGAGGAGAAGAATGGTTTGAATTAACAGTATGAACTTGATTAAACAAAGAAAAAAAATGAAAAAAAAAAGTCCAAGAAATTTGACTTAGTTGACGATGAATTTCGTTTCACAAAAGAAAGGGAAAACAAAAATCAGACTTTCAATTCATCCAGTTATCAGGTAATAATGTCTGACAATTATACTTTAGAGAGAAAAAAATAATTGCTTTTTGAATGCAAATTATACATCGATTTTGATTAGAGAAGTTTAAACATGAGGAAGCTAATATAAAAGAAAATAATTGGACCATCTTCAATGAGATTCCTAGATTTTTTCACTCCCATAACGCCGCATTTTCCAGCTAACCAAACAGGGGAATAAAATAGTGTCAAAAACCTATTGACCTCAAACTGACAAATCACCGTCAATTTTTAATCTCTAAAGAAGCCGCAATGTAGGAAGAAAAGAAGAACAGAAAAAAAACAAAAAACAAAAAACAAAACAAATATAAAGGCGAAGATCGAAGGAAGCACCAGAAATGGCCATGGCGAATCCGCAGCCTCCGCCGCAAACATCCATCCACGAGAACGGCGGCGGGAGGCGGACGATTGTCGGCGGGAGGAGAGGCGTCCTCTGCTGCAAAGCTCCGGGAAGGCATCCCCACATGTACGCCACTCTCTGCGCAGCCTCTTTCTCCTCCATTTTCACATCTCCATCGCCATTCATGGCGTCGCTCGAAAATGGAAAGAAAGGGCAAAAAAAAAAATAGCAAAAAGGGAGAAAGTGAAATACTTTCCGAGTCTTTCTGGTTCTTCGACTTCAATGTGTTTAATGGTATTGTTAAGAATTTTTTGTTTGGGAGCTGAGAAACGGGAAAGGACTATTTGGTGGGACTAGAAAGTGTGTCGGAAAGTGCCCTAAGAAAAGAGGAGGAGAAAAAAGGAATGGAATGGAGGGGCCGTATCATTTTAACGAGAAATGGGGGTGCCACGTAGGACGAACCTCGTTGTGTTGTGACACGTGGCGCGTCGTGAGCCCGTAGATTCTTCGGCCATTTGTAGCCAGGAATTGCTGGAAGTTTCTGGAAGGTCGGGGCTCTCGAAGTCTAAGAGGCCATGCGAGAGAGCTAGCGTGTCCTCTATGAGATGACGACACGTCTTGGGTTCTCACGCCAACTCCAATCATTGTGCGTCGCCACGTGTCCTTTCCTGAATTATTTTGCCCAACATCATGTGGCGGTAAGCGTGGGCCCATGTGCTTCGCTCATGTCCCTGTTTTTTCTTTTTCCTCTTTTTCTAAATTTATGTGCATGTTCTTTTATTTATTTTTTTTTATAAAGAATCGATGCGCATGCTCTTTTCTTCCTTTGTTCTATTTTTTGAAAATTTATGGGTGCGTTTTTTTAGTTATTTTTAGTTTTGGAAAAGCTACAGTGCTACACTAACCCTCATATTTTTTTATATAAGATATTTTTATTTTTCTATCCATAAAAAAAAGGATATTTTTCTACTAATAATATAGTATTTATTTTTTCTTTAATATTTACGTACATTTTTTAAAAACATAAGAAACCACCTTTAATATATTAATATTACTTGAAACATGTTTACTTTGCATAAAAGACAAAAGAAAGTAAGGAATTGATTTTCTATTTTTTAAGTGTTTATTTACAAAATTAATTATGTAGATTTAGTCAATTCCACATAATGAAAATAAAGAAAAAGAATGTCAATCTTCACATTTCTTATTCTTGTCAAAATGAATGAATACTTAATTTATTTATTTACCCTTAATGAATTATTATATAATCAATGATTATTTAATTGTGTAAAAAAATATTTTAATAATATTGCTATTCTTAATTTTAATAAAAACTAAAAAGAAAAAGGAGACACTTGAAAGGGTTTGGTCTCTACCAAAGTTGTTGTTAGATTTCTAATAGTTATCAAACTACCGAAAACAGTGAACAAAAAAGTATTAAGAAAGTGATACCAAAACACTAGCAAATAGAAAAAGGGGTTAAGTGTTGCATCTCACCATACTGTACTTGATAGATTATAATTCTCAAAACATTATAATTAGAGGAGCAAGTTTGAGCCGAGTTAAATAGGTCGTCAGCTCAAGCTCTGACACTGTTAGTTCAGTCTCAGTCTCGACCTGCTTAAGTATTTAGGTCGGTTGGCTTGGCTCAAACACATCTTTTTTTAATAGTTACCTTATAAAATTTCGGCCCGGCTCTAGGTCAGTCGGCTTTAAGGCCGGGCTAGGCCTACCTTCCTCCTTTTAGAGCCAATCCAGCTTGGTGAAAATAATGGGCCGGTCTGGTCCGGCCTGAAATTCTCATTCAGACCAAGTCGGGCCGGGCTAAACGACCTGAACTTTCACCTTTAAATACGTTACAAATCTACAAAATATATATAATTTTAGAAAAATATATATAAATTGAATTACTTTGTTTGGTTTCGTTTTTTTAAAGGTTAAAACCATAAACCAAACCAATTTAATTGGTTTTTTAAAAATTTAAACCAAATCAAATCGATTATTAATTTGTTTGGTTTGATTTTCTTTTCGTTTGGTTTGGTTTGGTTGGTTTGAATGATTTGTTGCACACCCCTAATTTTTGACAAAAGTGTTCCATGTTCTTTTCACTACTCGAGTTAGAGGACTTGAGTTTAAAATTAATTTTTTTAAGGGAAGTTTAAAAGTGAATTTTATGTTAGAGAAAATATTGTAATAATAAAGTTAAATTAGAATTTTATGATAAAAACCATTGTAATAAAAAGGTTTGAGTTGTGATTCGAATTGAGAAAATAACAAGATTTGTGCATTTTTTTTTTCCATGTTATGTAGTTTTACTTGTTCCGTTAACATTTCAAAACAAACTGTTTTTTCTTTTTCACAAGGTATATTTTGTCATGGGCAGGTATTACAAAGTCATGTCCTCTTTATGTGAGCCACTCCATAAAATGATGAAATTCAAATAGAGACAATAATAGAGACAGTAAAATTCATGTATTTGATGCTTTATTCTGTTCTTTTATAAGGTAAATATCTAGCTCATCATTCCCTTTTATTTGTCAAAAGGGTTGCTGTTAACTAGTGTTATACTTTTGTAATATAAGGTTGTAGATGGTGATCTATGCTTAGTCAATTGACAAATAAAACTCAAGAGTCAAGATCATTAATGTTTGGTCTTCACCACCATTTAGCTCAATCGGCTGCGTGCTTTCATTCTATTGTGTCACCCTTGTGAGTTCCTATTTGAAATATGTGTCTCAAACAAGATAGCGTACAAAATTTATTTCCTCAAAACTTAATGCGGATTTTTTAATTATTAAAAAAAGCCATGTTTATTATTATCAATATTATCATTGTCATTATCATATTATTATTCTTATTATTACTATTACGAGGGTAACTATAATTATTATTTAAAAAATGAAATTTCTTTCAAATGCGCCCAATGCATTAAGTGGCTTTTTAAGTGATGAATATAAAAGACAAAAAATATACATGTGTGTATGTAATATTTAAATATGGATACCATCCCTTTCCACACCATTCACCATAATAGAGCTAATAATTAAAGAACAAAAAAAAAAAAAATGGTACAAGCACTTGCACTAACACCTGATTAGTCATACAAGGATTGAGAAACGAAAAAGTGAAATAGGAATGAAGCCAAATATGAATAATTTTGATATTGTATTGAAAGTGAAGATACATTCATAATAGCCTTTATTGTCTGTGTATTTTTTTTTTTGGTTCTCATTTCGTACAAAATGGTAAATCCAATAATGCACATGGAACAAAACCTAGACAGTCCTTACTTCTTAGTAGTGGTGGAACTTCGCGTAGCGGACCTGCCCGAAACCTGAAAATTTTCGGGCTCAGCGGGCAGGCACCTATCGCCGCCCGTCCACCTAAATATCTCGGGCTCGGCCAACCCGAGGAAAAAGCATTCCCCGCAGCCCGCTGCTGGGGGGAGGGGGGGTGGCCATGACCGCCGGCCGTCATTTTTTTTTTAATTTTCCACCGTAACCCGAAGCCCGACCCAAAGCTCAAATTTTGTCCTGAATACCCAAAAAATGACTAGTTTTTTGAATTTTATGCCTGACCCGACCCAAACCCGATCCAAATAATGTTTTGACCATTAGCCCAATTTTTGCCCGAACTTTTAAATGCACCGGCTATATTTGCCCGACCTGACCCACCGCCCGTTTTGCCCGACTCCAATGGCTATATTTTTTACCGTTGCCCAAGCTGCCTAAACCCGACCCAACCCACCCGAAATTTTGTGATCGTTGGGGCCGAAATTTTGAGGGGCAAAAAAAAAAATTTTCAAGCCAAAAAATTCCCTATAAATACCTCCCCTCCCCCCAACCATTTTCCTCACCTAAAAACTCTCATCCTCTCTTAATTTCTCTCAAATCTCTCTTAATGTCTCTCAAATCTCTTTTAATCTCGCTCAAATCTCTCTCGATCTCTCTTAATCTCTCTCAAAGCGCTCTCGATCTCTCTTATTTTTCATAATAGATTCTTCTGGTTATGGTGGTGATATTCCCGTTGATGCCCAATTCAACATTGAAGAAGGGCAATTTCCTACTAATATTTTTCAAATGCAGGAATCGCAAACACCAGAAAGAGCCGCTGAGGAAACTACAAATCCGAGCCATGGTGGACGTACTAGAGGTCGTGGACCTCGTGGTCGTAATGATGGTGGGCGTGGAGGAGAGGCAAACGGAAGTGCTAGTGTAAGTGTTGCAAGTTCCAAGAAGAAATGCAAGCGCACCTTAACAGTTTAGGAGCACTTCAACACATTCGAGGAGGTCGACAATAACAGTAACATTAAATACATAGCTCAATACAAATATTGTGATGATAAATCACAAGGTAACACTATTCACGGCATAACACACTTGAGAAGACACTCCGAAAAGTGTCTTCAAAAGTAAGGAGGCGGACCCGATCTCCGCCAAATATAATTATCATTTGACTTCCTAACCGGCAGTCTAACCACTTAGAAATACGATCCACAAGTCGATCGTATGGAAATAGAACGATTAGTAGCCATATTAGGTCAGCCATTTAGTTTTACCGAACAAAAGAATTGGCAGCATTATATTAAAATTGTACATAATCCTAATGCAATTTTTTTCAAGAACTACTTTTAGGAAAGATGCATTAAAATTAAATTTATATAAACAATAAAGGAAAGCATTAATCAACCTTTTACACTCTACTAGTGATTGCGTTACGTTAACGGCGGATATTTGGTCCGTTGTTGCCAACAAAGATTATTTAGTCGTAACCGAACATTATTTTAAAGGTTTTGATTTAGATAAGAGAATATTAGGTTTTAAATTTGTTCTAGGATCACATACCGTTGATTTAATATATAATAAAATTTTATCTGTTATTGATGAATATAGTTTAAGGGATAGAGTAATGACTATAACATTAGCTAATGCTACTACAAATACTAAAACAATAGAACTTTTTAAAAATGATTTAAGTTTTTTCGGTAATAATGATATATTTCACCAACGTTGTGCATGACATGTAATTAATTTAATAGTAAAATCCGGTTTAAAATCAATGTCAGGTCATATTAAAAGAATTAGAGATAACACATTGCATGGATTCAAGGTAGTAATCAACGAATACAAGATTGGTTTAGGTTTCTACAAGCATGTAATTAAAATCCTAGAGCATTAGCCTTAGATATGCCCGTAAGATGGAACTCCACTTATATAATACTTGAACAATGCATCCCCTATATAGATGCTATAACAAACTATGTTAGTGCAAAATTGATTGGCAAATTGCCGAACTCTTGTATAACTTTTTAGGTAGATTTCACGAAGTTACTTTAAAGCTTAGTGGAACATATTACCCAACGTCACCATTAGCGTTAGGAGAACTTTTAAGAATGGCTATTTTATTTAGTGAATTTAGGACACACGAGGTTTTAGGAGTTCCTATCGCTTCTATAAAAAAGAAGTTTAAAAAATATTGGGCTAAATTACCAATGTTGTATAGTTTCGGTGTTATTTTTTATGCTAGATTAAAATTAGAAGGTTTAGAAAGTGGATTAGAAAACTTAGGTGACATTTTAGATATCGACTGTTCTGACCAATTTCCTATTATAAATGGAAAAATATTATCTCTCTATAGCTCTTATGAAAGTAGGTTTAGAAACCCACTGATAACTTGATGAAATAAAGTTATTTAACATACTTTTAGGCTTCATAGTTGTTGATTTCTCAAGGTAAAATGCCTTAGTGTTAGTATTTTACTTAACATTAGTTAGTTTTTATTTAGTTGGTAAAAGGTTGATACTTGTGGAACAATCTTGTCCTATCATGAATTTAGTCCTCAAATTCAATAAAAATATGTTGACTCTGGGTTGACTGTGCAGGAAGTCCAAGGGCAACTTTGGTGGAAGTACGTAGCAGGAATTCACCCATTGCTACAGCAAAGCTGCATCAATGCAGAAACAGCCAAAACGTGCATGCTGGCGCAGTTTTTCATTTACAGCTGGTAGTGGTCCAATTGCTGACTTTGTCAAGAGAGGATAGTTGTAAGAGCACTAGAGGGGCGACCATCAGTTTTGGCTCTTAGGCGGACACATGTAATTAGGGCACCTCACCCTGGCCTAGCATAAAAGGAAAAGAATAGTATTGTACAAAAAGACAAGTAAGGGGAGGCGCACAAAATTCTCTGTACAAGCTGAGAAGAAAGAAAAAATGAGAGTACATGAGGAGGTAGGAGGGCTGATTTATGGAGCTGAAGTAAGCAGTACCGTAAGGCTGGGCTCAAGGAAGCAAGGACGCATACCTGTTTGACTTTCAGATTTTAGCTTAATCATTTCCTTCTATCTTTCTTTATTTTCTCTCGCTGTGAACAAATGGATCTAGTTGTTTTTATTATTTCTCAATTCTTTGAACTAAACATGAGCTAAATTTCTTTAGCTAGGATTATTGATGGAACCAAAGTTGCAATAAAGATTTATTTGTTATTTTAATTGTTTGGGTAATTTTCATCATGTTTATTCAAGTGTGTTTATTGTCTAATTTTTGTTAAGTGACTGGCCATCATTTAGTAGAAAATATAAACTTAAATTAATTCTAGAAAGGTTAGTTTTAGTTAGATCTATCTTGGATAATATAAGGAAATAGTATAGGAATATATTATTGTCTTGTATGACCCATTAAAATTCGTGTTTAACTTCAGGTTTTGGAAACTAAAATGCATAGGAATATGTTGATTTTGGTTTACGGAATCATAGGCATAGATCTGTCGGAAGAGGAATGTGCAGAATTTTAAGTTGACTGGATGAACTTTGCTACAGTATTCATATAGCAAAACGTGGTCAGAGTTGCAACTGAGGGAAAATCAGTAATCCTAGCCTTTACCCATCATTGATTCACAGCTCGTAGCTTAGATCTTGTTAAGTCTTACCTCTTGTTTGCATTTTAATCACACGCATTGACTTTACTCATTCATTTTACTTAATCCTTATCAATTTGGTACTCGATTCACTCTTTGATTTAATTTAGTACAACTGGTTTTTGTAATTAATTTCTTATTAACTCAATCCCTGTGGAGACGATACTTTTCACTCACTACTGTAGTCCTTGTTCGATTACGTGCACTTGTGTAGAGTTATTTCCATTCATAGGATTTTTGCGAACAAGTTTTTGGCGCCATTGCCGGGGAATTGATGATTAGTAAAAATTATTATAGAAATCAGTTTTTGTTCATTTTAATTCAATTTTGCTTCTGTTAGTCACAATTACTCCTTTTGTTCTTCTGCAGTTATAATTTTCTTGCATGAATAGACCGAGGGATACAGATTTGATTCCCTTGGACCCTGAGATTGAAAGAACTTTTAGAGCAAGAAGAATGGAACAACAGGGATTTACTAGTATAGAAGAAATGGCTGAGGGAGCAGGTGAAAATAATCAAGGTAACAATGTTGCAGCAATAGCAGAGGACAAGGATAGGGCAATCAGAGATTATACCATCCCCATGCTCGACAGGCTGTATCCAGGCATTGTTAGGCCAGAAATTCAGGCAACCAAATTCGAGCTGAAACCGGTTATGTTTCAAATGCTCCAAACCGTGGGGTAATTCAGCGGGATGCCGATCGAAGACCCACATCTGCATCTTTGGCTTTTTATTGAAGTAGGCGACTCTTTTAAGCTCCTTGGTGTGACTGAAGAGGCTCTTCGCCTCAAGTTATTTCCCTATTCTCTGAAGGACAGAGCTAGAGCATGGCTGAATTCTTTACCACCAGATTCGGTAGTTACATGGACTGATTTGGCTGAGAAGTTTCTGGTGAAATATTTCCCTCCAAACAAAAATGCCAAACTCAAGAATGATATCACATCATTTCAACAGTTGGAGTGGGAAGCTCTGTGTGAATCATGGGAGCGTTTTAAGGAGTTACTAAGGAAGTGTCTATACCACGGACTTCCTTATTGGATTTAAATGGAAACCTTCTATAATGGACTCAACGCTCTAACTAGAGCCATGGTGGATGCATCAGCAAATGGTGCCTTGCTTGTGAAGTCGTACAATGAGGCTTATGAAATTTTAGAGCGAATGTCCAACAACAACTACCAGTGGCCCACCGAGAGAGTTTATACAGGACGACGTGTTGCTGGAATTCATGAAGTGGACACTGTGACTGCATTGATAGCTCAAGTTTCTTCATTATCTAATATTTTGAAGTCCATGAACGTGGCTGCATGAGCTAATACAACAACCCCAGCTGAATTAGCTTGTGTTTATTGCGGAGACAGACATTCGTTCAAAAACTGCCCATCCAACCCTACCTCAGTTTGTTATGTGAACAATTTCAACAGGAGTAACAATCCGTATTCCAACATATACAACCCAGGGTGGAGGCAACATCTGAATTTTTCTTGGGCAAATCAAGGAGGTAGTTCTTCAGCAAGGTCGAGTAAACCAACACATCCACCGGGTTTCCATCAGCAGCAACACCAAAGACAGCCACCTCAAGAACAATCAACTCCCATGGAGGCACTGCTTAAAGAGTACATGGCAAAGAATGATGCAATCATTCAAAATCAAGCAGCCCTCCTTCAAAGTCAAGCTGCGTCATTGAGGACTTTGGAGAATCAAGTGGGGCAGCTAGCTAATATTTTAAATAATAGGCCCTAAGGATCACTTCCTAGCGATACGAAAAACCCAAGAAGAGATGGTAAGGAGTATTGTAAAGCTATCACACTTCGGAATGGCAGGGAAATTGAGCAACCAACTCGACAATCTGCTACAGCATTAGAGCCCTCTTCGATCCAAAATCAGAAAGTCCATCAACCAGAAGTTTAATCAGAACGGGATGCTACAGACTAAAATGCTACAGGAAAGCTGAAGCAAAACGGACTAGAGAGACCTCCACCCCCATTTTCACAAAGATTTCAGACTCAAAAGCAAGATAAGCAGTTCAGGAGATTCATAGACGTGTTAAAGCAACTCCACATCAACATTCCACTTGTGGAGGCGTTGGAGCAAATGCCTAATTACGTTAAATTTATTAAGGATATTCTTTCGAAGAAACGTCGGCTAGGTGAGTTTGAGATGGTGGCACTAACCGAAGAATACAATGCGATATTGAAGAATAAGCTACCACCCAAGTTGAAAGATCCTTGTAGCTTCACTATACCGTGCTCCATTGGTGATCAATATGTTGGAAAGGCATTATACGACTTGGGAGCAAGCATCAATCTGATGCCTATGTCTATCTTCAGAAAGCTGGGAATTGGTGAAGCAAGACCCACCACTTTTACTCTGTAATTAGCTGACAGATCTTATGCTCATCCAGAAGGAAAATTTGAAAATGTGCTAGTGAGGGTAGACAAATTTATATTTCCAACAAATTTCATTGTGTTGAATTATGAAGCAGATAGGGAGGTGCCTATTATCTTGGGAAGACCCTTTTTAGCTACAGGCAGCACATTGATTGATGTGCAAAAGGGTGAATTGACCATGAGAGTCCACGATCAGCAAGTCACTTTCAACGTGTTCAAGGCAATGCGTTTTGCTGACGAGGTGGAGGAATGTTCAGCTATTAATGTTCTGGATTCACTGGTGGCGGCAGAGTTTGAGAAAACATGCTCGGAAAAGCTAATAAAAGAGGATGACCTGACTGATTTTGAGGTAGATGAGGACAACAATGATGGTCAAGTATCATGGATGGAGGGTAGACACACATCAGCCAGCTCTAGGAGGCAATTCGAACCATTGGAATTATCAGAAAGGCCCTTCAAGCAACATAAACCCTTTGTGGAAGAACCACCTATTTTGGAACTAGAGCCTCTACCTGCACATTTGAGGTATGCATACTTGGGTGATTCAAACACTCTTCCAGTAATCATTGCTTCTAGACTAAGTGATATACATGAAATGCAACTGCTGGAGGTGCTAAAGAAGTTCAAATGGGCGATTGGGTAGACTATCGTAGATATAAAAAGAATCAACCCATCAATCTGCATGCATAAAATTTTGCTTGAGGAATGCTACAGCAATTCGGTGGAACAACAAAGAAGGCTGAATCCAATTATGAAAGAGGTTGTGAAGAAAGAGGTGACTAAATGGCTTGATGCAGGGATAATTTATCCTATTTCAGATAGCTCTTGGGTCAGCCCTGTTCAATGCGTGCCCGAGAAAGGAGGAGTCACGGTGGTTCCAAATGACAACAATGAGTTGATTCCTACGGTGATTGGTTGGAGGGTCTGTATGGACTACAAGAAGCTGAACAAGGCGACTAGGAAGGACCATTTTCCTCTGTCGTTCATTAATCAGATGCTTGATAGGTTGACTGGAAAAGAATATTATTGCTTCTTAGATGGATACTCAAGCTATAACCAGATTGTTATAGCACCAGAGGATCAGGAGAAGACCACCTTCACCTGTCCTTATGGGACGTTTGCTTCCAGGAGGATGTCGTTCGAACTCTGTAATGCTCCAGCAACTTTTCAAAGGTGCATGATGTCTATATTCACTAATATGGTGGAGAAGTCGCTGGAGGTTTTTATGGATGACTTTTCGGTGCTCGGAGACTCCTTTGGTGATTGCTTAGCAAATTTGGAAAGAGTCTTAATGAGGTGTGAAGAAACCAATTTGGTCCTAAATTGGGAAAAATGCCACTTCATGGTACAAGAGGGCATTGTACTGGGCCATAAGGTTTCCAACAAAGGCATCGAAGTGGACAAGGCAAAGATTGAAGTCATAGATAAGTTACCACCACCGACATTAGTGAAGGGAATTAGGAACTTTCTGGGCCACGCAGGCTTTTATCAGAGGTTCATAAAAGACTTCTCAAAGATTTCCAAGCCATTATGCAGTTTGCTGGAGCAAAGTCGACCATTTGAGTTCAATGGAGAATGTCATCAGGCGTTCTTGGAGTTAAAGAGACGGTTAGTGTCTGCGCCTATTGTCATTTCACCTTATTGGTCACTGCCATTTGAGCTGATGTGCGATGCTAGTGACTACGCAGTAGGAGCAGTGTTGGGGCAATGACATGAGAAAGTATTCCACTCTATTTACTATGCAAGCAAGACAATGACTGAGGCCCAGCAGAATTATACTACCACAGAGAAAGAGCTGTTAGCTGTGGTATTTGCCTTCGATACGTTCAGAGCATATCTAGAGGGCACCAAGGTGATTGTATACACTGACCATTCCGCAATTAAGTATCTGATTGCCAAGAAGGATGCTAAACCGCGACTGATCCGGTGGATATTATTGCTGCAAGAGTTTGATCTGGAGATCAGAGATAGAAAAGGGTCTGAAAATCAGGTTGCAGACTATCTTTCCAGACTTGAGGCGGGAAGTGGGACCGAGAAGAGGGAGCCCATTCGAGAGACCTTCCCTGATGAACGACTTCTGGCCGTGCAACAAGCTACAGCCCCCTGGTATATTATATAGTAAGTAGGTTGTTTCCACCTGAAATGAACAATCAAAAGAAGAAAAAGTTCCTACATGATGCTAAGTTCTATTGTTGGGATGAGTCGTTCCTATACAAGCAATGCGCGGATCAGATTATTCAGCGGTGTATTCCTGAGGAAGAAATTAAAAGCATCCTGCAGCATTGTTATTCATCACCATACAGAGGGCATTTCGGAGGAGCAAGAACAGCCGCAAAAGTCCTCCAATCTAAATGTTATTGGACATCCATTTTCAAAGATGCTCATGAGTTTGTGAAGACATGCGACAGGTGCCAACGTGTTGGTAACATCTCCTACCGACATGAAATGCCACTGAACAACATTTTGACGTTTGGGGCATTGACTTCATGGGGCTGTTTCCTCCATCTTTTGAAAACCAGTACATCTTGGTAGCGGTCGACTATGTCTCAAAGTGGGTGGAAGCGGTGGCACTTCAAACGAATGATTCTAAGGTAATGGTAAAATTCCTTTACAAGAATATTTTTACCCGCTTTGGAACACCTAGGGTAATCATCAGCAACGAAGGAACCCACTTTGGCAGCAGGCAGTTTGAGATTCTCTTGGCCAGATATGGAGTGAAGCGCAAAATTGCTACAGCATACCACCCACAAACTAGTGGGCAAGCAGAAATCTCAAATAGGGAGATAAAGAGGATCTTAGAGAAGGTGGTCAACCCGTATCGCAAAGATAGGTCGCTGAGGTTGGATGATGCTCTATGGGTGTACAGGACAACGTTTAAAATACCACTAGGGATGTCTCCATCTCGATTAATCTTTGGGAAAGCATGTTACCTATCGATGGAATTGGAACATAAGGCATATTGGGCAGTCAAACAGTTGAACTTGGACCTCCAACTAGCAGAAGAGAAGTGTTTGTTGTAGCTGAATGAACTTGAGGAATTCCGACTGCAAGCTTATGAGAGTGCCAAGTTATATAAAGTGAAAACCAAGAAATGGCACGACAGCAAAATCATTCCACGACAGTTTGAGGCTGGACAACAAGTCTTACTCTTCAACTCAAGGTTGAAGTTATTTCCAGGGAAGCTAAAGTCCAGATGGTCAGGTCCCTTTGTGGTGATTCAAGTCCACCCACATAGAGCAGTGGAGATTGCTGTAGCAAACTTAGGGAGAACTTTCAAAGTGAACGGTCAGTGACTCAAACACTACTGGGGTGACGAGTTTAACCACCAGAAAACCTCCATCACGCTTCAAGATGCATAAAGGGCAACATAGTTAGGCTGAAGACTCTAAAATAAGCGCTTAAGGGAGGCAACCCTACACTTTCAATCTTGTCATTTCTTTTGGTTTATATGTTTTGTTGATTATTTTCTGTTTGTTTTTTGTTAAGTTGTGAATTTTGATCCAGTGTGGTTTTATGCTGAGGTTACTACAGCAGAAAGAAGGGAAAACTGAGCCAGATGCAAGAGGTGGTGTTTTCATAGTTTTGCTGCAGTAAAAATTTTTCACCACAAATAAATGCTGTAGCAATTTGGAAGGCAAGAAAAACTGTTGTAGCAATTTGGAAGGCAAGAAGAAATGATGTAGCAAATTGACCATAAAAAAACAAAAAAAAAGTAAAAAAAAAAAAACTGAGTTCAGATGGCAGGGGCTGTGTTTTCATGGTTTTCCTGCAACAAAATTTTTCATCACGAATAAATGTTGTAGCAATTTAAAAAAAAAGGGGCCTATAGAAAAGATCTCGAAGGGCCACATGCCCTACTACTTTCCCTTCTCTGCGCCGAAAAAAAAAGAAAAAAAAACCCTAGCAGCCCCACATTTCCCTTCTCTGCGTCGAAACAACCCTACCAGACCCCACCTCATGTTTCTCTTGGCCATATCTCTCACACGCTGCCAACCCCACAAATTTGGGCACCAACTCTACATTTCAAGTTTGGGGGCGTTCCACACTCTGCTCAAGCATCAACTCTAGCACCATCGACGGTTCTACCATTCCATCTGACATTTGGGGCTCCCTACATCTTGGTGGATTCATAATGGTGTACACAAAATGGATTGCCAACAAGACGATAGGTCGGTTTCCACTAAACCCATGAATCAGTTACAAACCTTCCAATCTACAGAAGCTGAAACCAGGTATGAGAGGTTTATTTCTAAGCGCTCCTTTTGCCCAGAGAAGGGCTTCTTGTTGACAGACTCCCCCACTATGGGGTATGATGAATCGATACACTCAGTTATTGCAACCCTTAACTGGAGGAAATTCTGCTCTCACCCTCCTGCTACTATTGTACCTCTCGTCATAGAGTTTTATGCTCATTTCACTGAATTAGATCAACATCATGTATATGTGCGTGGTGTTCAGGTCCCAAGTAATCGGGACACTATCAACCGGTTTTATGGATTAGAGGGGTCTACCGACTGGCATTCTAATTTTACAGTGAATACTGATCCGACACAACTGAATCTGATGTTGGAATACTTCTGTGTGGAGGGCACCAATTGGAACGTATCTACCCAAGGCGCCATGACGATTCCAAGGAACAGCCTCACACCACAATGCAAGGTGTGGTACCATTTCCTTAAGTCTTATCTGATTCCATCCATGAGCATGTAAACTGTGTCAAATGAGCAACTGTTGTTGCTAGATTCCATCATCTCATGCCGCTTAATGGACGTAGGAAAAATAATTCACCAAGAGCTCCGTGCGTGCGTGAGTAAGCAGGGTGGTAGCTTGTGATTTCCATCCCTCATTATGGGGTTATGTCTTAGTAATGGTGTGCCAGCATTAGCCACTGAGGAGAGATTATCAATGAAAGGTGCTATCACCACCATTGCTGTAGCCAGGATAACGCAAGCCAAACCGGCCCGAGCAAGTCAAGATGAGCACCTCCCCGAGAATGATGAAGAGGAACTAGACCCTGCAGCACAGGCCACCACCAGTAGGCATACTGCAGCATCAAGCAGCAGGAGTCCAATGCCTGAAGACATGGCCAACTCCCTTAAGATGTTGGAGCAGTGCATAAGCCTTCAGGAAATCCAGCAGTTCCAACCAATGGAAATGCTACAGCAAATGCACAAGCAGCAGCAGCAGCAGTACTGGGCCTATGTACGGCAGCGGGACGTCGCCTTGAAGAAATCTCTCCAGAAGAACTTTACCAGGTCGGTCTTTCCGTTTCCCGAATTCCCCGAGGGTGTGCTGGAACTAATTGTCCCAGAGGACAATGCTGAGGACGATGCAGAGGATGTGGATGAAGAATGAGAGGATAGGCTACTTGCCTACCTCCACAGGGAGTATCAACCTTTTCTTATATTTTGGGATGTCTAGGTTTAATATTTTCTGTTTTTGTTTCGTGTTTCCTGGTTTTATTGTGCTCTGTGGTCAGGTGTTGTTTTTGTGTTTTGTAATGTTCTGTGTTGTTCCCCAAGCAGTGAGGACAATGCTTCCTCTAAGTTTGGGGGTGTTGTGATGTTTTTAGGTCTGTTGGTTAGGTGCTGTTGTTCGTTATTTTGTTTTGTTTTATGGTTATGTTTTGATTTTGCTATATAT